GTCACATACATACAAGGCAACTGAAAATACCAGGGCTTGGGTCAGGCCCACCTTAGTCCTCAAAGTAACATCTTTGCTTTTCAACCCTCTAAAGCAGCGGGTTCTCAACCTGTGGGTCCCGACTCCGATGGGGGTCGAACGACCCTTTCAGAGGGGTTGCCCGATTCACAACAGTAGCAAAATGACAGTGATAAAGTAGCAACGAAAATGATTTTAGGGTTGGGGGGTCACCCCAACATGAGGAACTGTATTAAAGGGTCGTGGCATTAGGAAGGTTGAGAACCACGGCTCTGAAAAGATCTTGTGCAGCAGATTTACCCAATACAATGTGTCCTTGATCTCCTGCTTGCTGCTTCCATGAGCACTGATTGTGGATCCAAGCAAAGGCAAAATCTGTAACAACAATGTGTGCTCCATTTATCACGATGTTATCTATAGGTCCAGTTGTGAGGAATTGTATTCACACTGATGGCTGCAATCCTTGATCTTCATCAGCAAGTGCCTCAATCCTTCCTTGCTTTCAGCAAGCAAGGTCCTGTCATCTGCATATCACACAACTGCCTCTTTATTCATGTACAGGTTCCACATGAACAAAATTACGTGCTCTGGATTTCTTATTCTTCTTCATATAATCCAGTTTCTCTGTTTATTTGCTCAGCATACAGACTAAATAAGTATGGTAAGAGGATACAACCCTGACACACACCTTTCCTGATTTTAAGCCATGAAGTGTGCCTTTGTTCTATCCCCACAACTCCCTCTTCACCCATAAAAGTTCCAAATAAATACATAACCATAGTTGGTTATGATCCACACAATTAAATGCCTTGGCATAGTCAATGTAAGACATGTCAACATCTTTCTGGTGTTCTCTGCTTTCAGCCAAGATCCGACATCAGCAATGATATCTGTTGTTGCACATCCTCTTCTGAATCCAGTCTGAACCTCTGGAAGCTTCCTGTCAATGTAGTGCTACAGATGTCATTGGATGGTCTTCAGCAAAATATTACTTTCATGTGTTATCAATGATACTGTTCTATAATTTGAGCATTCTGTCCAGTCACCTTTCTTTGGAATGGGTACAAATATGGATCTTTTTCAGTCATTTGGCCAAGTAGCCGTCTTCCAAATTTCCTGAGATAGAAGAGTCAGTGCTTCTGGTGCTTCATCAGCTTGTTGAAACGTTTGAATTTGTATTCCATTAATTCCTGGAGCTTTCTTTTTGGCAAAATCTTTCAGTGCAGCTTGAATTTTGACACCACTGGTTCTTGCACATATTCTACCTCCCCAAATGGTGGAGTGTTGACTGGTTCTTCTTGGTACAGTGCCTCGTGTACTCTTCCCATCTTCTCTGGATGCTTCTGCACCATTCAGTACTTTGCCCATAGAATCTTTCAAGAAAGACAGCAATTAAGGTTTGAATTTGTTCTTGAGTTCTTTCAGTTTAAGATATGCTGAGCATGTGCTTCCTTTTTGGTTTTCTAATGCTAGGTCTTTGCACATTTCATTATAATATTTGGCTTTGTCTTATTGAGTTTCCCTCTGGAATTTTCTATTCAGCTCTTTTTGACATCATCGTTTCTTCCATTTGCTTCAGCTACTCAACAAGTAAGAGCAACTTTCAGATCCTTTCTGACATCCACTTTGACCTTTCCTTTCTTTCTGGTCTTTTGCTTTCTCCATGAATGAGTTGATTGATGTCCTCCCACAGTCCACCAGGTCTTCTGTCAGTGTTCAATGTACCAATTCTGTTCTGGAAATGTTCTTAAAACTCAGGTGGGATAGACTCAAGGTTATATTTCAGCTCTTAGAGATTTGTTTTAATTTTCTTCAGCTTTAACCTGAGTATATACATGAGCAATTGATGGTCTGCTCTACAGTCAACCTCTGGCCTGCTTCAGATGCTGATATTGCGTGTTCTACAGATGTAGTCCATTTGATTTCTGTATATTCCGTTTAATGGAGTCTGTGCGTAGAGTCGCCGCTTGTGTTATTGAAAAAGGATATTTGTTTTGGGCTTAGCAGCGATCATCAGTGTGCTGAGAGGAACACTGTTGTGTTTGGTCCTCATTCTCCATCATTAGTAATTTCTCCATATCGGATCTAGATCCCTCCCACATTTTTGTTGCCTTTGTTTCTTTCAGTGGAGCTTATCCTTTACTACCTTGGAGAATTTTTTCTTTGTTTTTGAAGCTTGTCATGATTATCAACAGTGAGATTACTAAACTGTGAGCAATCACATTCACTAATATTGCACCTTTGTGTTATCTAATAACCCTTTGTTTCAGTTCCAAACGCTTCTCCATTGCCTTTTGCTGCTGCAGGCTCCAGAACTGGTTTTGCACTATTTGGGAGGCATCCTATACTTGCTATAATAATGTACAGCATATTATTAGGTGGTAATATAGTATTATAAGATAACAATACTACAGCAGCAACAAGAGATGCATGACACATGACCTTGGAGGCTGCTACCTAGGAGTCAAGGTAAAATGGTTAAATGGAAATTACAGTACAGTACAGACATATGCCAGACACAGAGGCATTTATTATAATCAAGACAGATGTACTATAAAAAAGCCAAACTCCCTGCTGAGTCATAGCAACCCACTTTGTGTTGCCGAGACCGTAACTATTTACAGTAGAAAGTCCAGTATTTCTCCTGAAGAGCTGCTGGTAGCTTCGAAGTGCCGACCATACGGATCACAGCCCCGTGCACCAGCAGGGCTCCTCCTTTATGTACTAGAGGCTATATATATGTGCTGCACTATTATACCCTGACAGTGCCATCATTTCATATACAAGTGACAAGAATGCAGGCAGCCCTGCATATTCACAACATCCCATCCTCTGATCAGGATTTCTGTACTCTCTCATAACGTTATGAAATCACATGTATATATGGTGAAACAAACAATACCCGAACGGACGTCATGCAGCACATCAACACATAAAAAAAGAAACTGTTAGTATTAATCTTTGCACTATCCAGTAAGCCAGTGAATTTGGGCCAAAGAGCTGTTTTTGAAGAAAAGTGTCAGATGTGAGAAAAATGAGGAACACAAAGTTGCAGGGAAGGCAACTGCAGGTGGCTTCTTCAGCCCGAGCTGAAATATTCTTTATTTAAACTTTAGTTACAACTGAAACAAGATCCGGAGTGTCTTACTAATGCAAAATCTCCCTTTCGGGACCTCAAATGACCTCTAGGGGCCAATTAGCTATTCTGCTTCTTAAAAAAAAAATGGACTGAACTTCTTAGTGAAGAGTTTGGATCAGGTTGCCGTAGCCTGCAAAGGTGGCTCATTTGCTGAGTCGTTAAAGTTCTCATGCAATCTTCTCCCCTCCAGACTCATGACTCAGCTTCCGCAGTGCTGGCACGGCTGACAGTAGCTTTGGTTGGTGCAAACGTCAGGGAGGGCATTGCCTTTTCACTTTCCACAGCATTAACTTTTAGGGGAATTCAACAAACCCAAAGATGCCGCCTAAGTCAAGAACTGGCAGAAGAGCAAGAAGGAGACATAGAGGTTTTTTTAAATCCGTGCCACAAAACCCAAAGGCTGGAACACACACCAAAGGGCAAATGTGCCTACTGTTCACTGGACAGTTGTGAATCGTAAGAAATGCAGTGGCCTAGGGCAGTATGCGATTAAGGTCACCTACAGATATTTGTTGGGAGGCGATCAGACAGAAACCTCGGGGCTCTGTGTTGCACCACTCAGCAAGCCCACGCATGCACGATGCCACTTTCATACAGCACTAGGTAACACGCAGGACAGAGATGAAATAAGGTGTCACCACATTGTTTCCCTCTGGATCCTGGCCCGTGGCCATGTTATCTGAGGACTGCTAAGCCTCAATGTGACGCTTGACTTTCTAAGCCTTGGACTGTTTCTTAAGCATGCCAGGGATTCGCCAAACCCCCTCGCCCCTCACCCCATCCTGACCCAGCTGAAGAAAATCACCCTGTTCCTTACCTACAAATAACAACTCTTGTGCTTTCATTTAAACTCACTTCCTCCTTGTAGATCCTCCCTGAAGAGAACGAAAGTTAGTCCCCAAGTGAAGGAGATCATGTGCCCCTTTACCTGTATACAATGTTTGGAGGCATCCGCAGGTTTATTTGCCCTCTTTCTGCCTGAACAACACCATGTGTAGGACAAGAATAATAATATTCATGGGGTTGTTGTGAAAATTAAAAGAGGTTGATCCCTAAATCTTCCTTCCCCTATCTCTCCCTTGTCCTTTGGTGAACTTGGACACATCATTTGGACTAATAACATGTTGTTCAAGTAGCCCACTCAGTCTTATATTTCAGATTCTGTGTATCTCAACCTGGTTTTCCCATACATACTACTTTAAGATGTTATATATATATTTTTTTAAGATGTTATATTTCATGAGACTTTATTGTTCTTTATACCGACTCACCTCTGTAAGATACTGTATGTATACCCAAAACCATGAACATGTCTTTATTGGTCTGAAACTACAGAACCTCTATGTTATCTCAAACATGTATTTTTAACTTCTAATACATTTCTTCTCATTGAAATGGGACAAGCGATTTTATTCAGGTATACATCAAACTAACACCGAACCAGTTAATTTCCACGCTGAGAGATTTGAATAGTGTCATGGCTCCTAAAATAACAGTCATTATGAATTTAGAAAGAACACCAATTGAACTGTAAAATGAACAAGTAATTCTCTCCTTTGTTATCCCCAGTCATTAATTCAGGAAAAGCATCTCCAATATTAAAAACAAAAACAAAAAAGATAGCCACAAGTTCTGATCATAGCTTTGTTCCTCTGATAGCATTATAAAGATATTTCATTAGCTACTTACCTGTAAGGACAAACTCATTTATTATTACTAATACGTTTAAGACAAGAGCAATTATGTAACAGAGTGGTATAGGGAGAAAAACCAATACAGTGCACTGACAGGTGCAGATTCAGTACACTCTTCCTACAGTATTTCCAGGCACCACCAAGCGTACCTTAGAGAACTGTGGTTTTCCATTTTCATAGTGAATCTCCACATAATCAGAAGACAGCAGGCCGCTGCAAAGGAAAGAGAACAGAGCGCTTTTTGTACTTGAAGGCTTAAACAGTCAGTTCAGAAAATGGATGTCAGAGACAGGTAAATCACAAACAGCTACAGCCCACAGTAGACTATAATGATGTTCTCATCAAGGGTGTCAAGCATTGTCTAAGAACAATTCACCCTCATCCATTAAAAAGTCACAATTTTGATAAGCGAAGGGTAAACTCCTCTTACACCCACTCTTTAGCAGTTAATTTGGTATGATAATTAATATGGAGCTAACTCTCAAACAGCATAATCACTGAGGAACAGCCGAGATCAGGCACGACTGTAGTCCAGTGGTTTTATTTATGGACACTGGAATTTGAATTCCATGTCATTTTCATGTGCCACGAAGTATTATTCTTACTTGGGTTTTTCTGGACATTAAAAAATATAAAAGGCATTCTTAGCTTGCAGACCGTACAAGCCCAGGTGTAGCCGGACTTGGTTGGTGGACGATCCCTTGCTAGCTCCTCCATAGTAAAAAGTCACAGGACAAAGTAAAGTAGCACAGACTTTTCATTCAAATAAAGCAGGGTTGAAACTGTAATCTGGCTCAGTTGATTATTAGTGGTGCAAGGCCATATTAGATGCACCTTGATAGAATTGGGGGGAAAATGTAGAATAGACTTTAAATTCCTTAAACGTCCGGGATTACTGTTCCAGTAGAAGCTAGCACACTCTCTGATAGTATTGTCTTGAGATATTCTTGAAACTGTAAAGCAGAGTCTTTTAGGGAAATAGATTGCATACAAAATAAAGCATATTATCTATGAGAATGGTGCTCCATTAAAAAAGAGTCTATATGACACCAGAAGGTCAATAATGACTCCACAGCCCAGATGAGGTAGTGAGGAGCATGGGCACTAGAGCACTCGTACAGACAGAAGCATCCAAGAGAACGTGGACACCCTGGATATGGGAACTACGATCACTGAACAACTTGAGTAGAAATTGTCAAAGGAGGTCCTAATTTGCTGTTTACATTTTCACCAAAAACAAAATAAAATATATATTTTTAAATGGCTTGAATGTACAGAATTTATATAAATTCTTTTTAAATGAAAAAAAAAATTCTTTTTAAATGTTTACAGCATTAATGGATGGATTTGTTCTAAGAGCTGTAAGAGCCCGCAATAAAATGATTTATTGAAATACAAAAATGGCTTGAGTAAATTTTTTAAATAGAGACATTATTTTAAAAGTTATTATTAAAAATATTTTAAAATTCTATTATTTTAAAATTATTTTTAAAATCAGAGAAATAAGATGATATAAAGATACCAAAATATTAACTATCTAACTTGCTGTGTTGTGGGGTTACAGATTATTTTAGTTTCTTCCTTATGGTTTTTGGCATTTAACAACATTTTTACCATGAACATGAATTTTATTCAGATATTCTCCAGAAATGTTAAAGAC